GTTAAAAAAGAAATGTTTAATGTTAAATGCTCAAATGTTGAATGTCGAAAAAGTAATGCTGAATATTAAAATGAATTGTTCGATGTTCAAAAACGAATATTGAATGTCGAAACCGAATGTTGATAGTTGAAAATTGAATGTTAACATCGAAAAATTAAAAAAAAGGGAGAAAAATTTATTCAAAACTTGTATAGACTCGGGAAGATTTAAAGATTGACATATTATGTGGATGAATGTCTATTTTTAGTCTGTTTAAAGCCCTATAGATATCTTTTGTTTTCATTTTTGTCAGCCTGGATGGGGTCTTCATTTCTTTATTCATGTATTTTTTAAGCCAGCTTTTCTTTTATCAGTTGTTTTGTTCACTATAATATATTCTTTATATTTCAGCACCCTTATTCTTTCTTTTTTCTTTATTCTTTATTTCTTGGCATCCACTGTATGCATGTGTTGTCTCTTCTGTATACCCCAACCAAAACCTCGTATAATGTTGTCTCTTTTAGGAATTCCACACATCTCGTTTAATTTGTGCAGATAAAAGATGAAAGATTACAGATTGATAATTATTTAAGTACAAGAAACAAACGTTGGGTACACACAAAATATCTTATTGTCTTTTGCCATAATCACTAGTTGTGGTAGTTGGAGCAGTGGTAGCTGATGCAGCGGTGGTAGGTGCAGCAGTGGTAGCTGATGTAGCGGTGGTAGATGATGCAGCAGTGGTATCTGCTGCAGTAGCAGCTGAAATATAAAAAATGATAATCTATTTTACATCATTTCAATAATGACAGTGTATGAAAAAAAAAATAACAAAAATACAGAACTCCAATGAAAATTCAAAACGGAAAGTCCCTTATCAAATGACAAAATCAAAAGCTCTAACACATCAAACGAATGGAAAACGACTGTCATATTCTGACTTGGTACAGGTATTTTCTTATGTAGAAAATGGTGGATTAAACCTGGCTTTATAGCAAGCTAAACCTCTCACTTGTATGACAGTAGCATAGAATTCCGTTATACTGACAACAATGTGTGCGCAAAACAAATACACTTTGTAAGTGCCAAATATTGGGGTACAGCAGTCAACGTTGTGTTATAATCTTAAACACTACAAAAAACAAACAACTATGTCAACAAATAAAAAACAAAATGGCACATAGACACTCTATAGGCAAAGCACATAAGGAAACGATAAAGACAAGAACACACAACAATGTTCATAATGGCGGGATGTATAAATACGGAGTCACGCCAAAAGGATATTACCAAAACTTGAATACTTTTGATTTCAAAATTAAAGTCGTCTCGTTAGTTATGGATTCTGGTAATGAGATGACCGCTTATGTCAAATTGGTGATTCGTGGATTGTAGTGGATTCTTTATTCCCTTTAGTGTTTTAAAAATATGAGTGGACGACTATTTTATTTTCTAGAGGAGAAATAGACTTTTATAATGAATGTATTGACCAGGTAAGAACTGTAAATAAATATGAATACATATTTTCCCAAAAAAATCCAGGATATATTTGTGTTTATAAATAAATTTTCGAATGAAATGAACAAGTGTGACTAGTAACAGGTGAAATAGAAAATTCCGTCCACGAAAAAATCGTCATACTCTTTGCCCCACAAAATGAAACGAAGGTCACCTAATCGTGATACACATCGTGATACACATCGTTATGCATTACATTCAGTGTTACATAATGACAATGAAAGTAAAATGAATATTAACATAAATAGGATAAATATCAAAATGTTCCTTGGAACTAATTAAACAGAGAAACGAAGCATTTTAGATGACGACATTGTCGTTTAGATTTATTTCTAATATGCTTTTGTACGCTTTAAACCATTGCCGTGACGTCAGCTTCTTCATTTACCGTGGATTATTTTCCTAGAATCAATGGACTCACGTAATCATATTTAACTGTTTCCTTTGTGTGCCTAATTCCATTAAGTTTAAAATTGGCTAATTTACTGATTTCTGTTAACTAATGAAATTAATTTAAAAACGTACTTTTAACTTTTGTAATTTTTATATACCTTCACTGGGAAGCTAACCTTCCTTGAAATCTGTTGTGTGCGACTGAAATCAACACATCGACGAAACCTCGCGGCTACCGATGGGTTGCAATTTATATGTCTATTTTATATATATAATTCAAAATTCAAGAGTCTATCCTAAATTGAGGTAAATTATATGGCCTTCCAAATACCGTTTCGATTCCTAACAGCACTAAAAAGACTTAATTGTCGGAATCCGGATATATTGTACTAATTTATGCACCTTTTGTTTGCGGTATACCATCTTTTCGGCAGGTTTATTGTTTTCTGTTTGGTATTAAATTAATAGTTAAAATCCATGTTGTTACATCTGGTGATCGGTTTATTTGGCAATCGCTAATGGCAGTCAGCAGGGTTTAAGAACATCCGTTGTTCGACCTGCTAGTCAAATGCGTTTTGTTAAAATATTCTTTTTCACTTTTTTGGTCTTTTGGAAAATGTTGTTTGTGCTGTATTCAGACCCCTCTACCAAGAAATTTGTTTTCCATGCACTTGTATAAACATTTAGGTTTGAACGTTGTTTTCAATTTAGACTTATTTATAAATGAACATATGATATATATTGGTACAACGGACACACAGGGCTTGTCATTAATATATATATATATAATATACAATCGTATAGTATAAGTTGATAGCCATCAGGTTTGTTATAAATCATGTCAGTACCGAGGTACTCACTACTGAGCTGATGATTCCTTCGGGGGCTGTTTACAATTTATACTAAAAGAAATTTAAGATGAAAAACGTCATTGTATAGTTATAAGTTTATCCTATAACTAGTGACAAAGTGTAAAAATTTTGACATGTAAACTTACGTTGGTACTTTTTTATGATTATTTTTTTATTTTTAAAGTACCTCGATTACTCGTATATTTTGGTTTTTTTTTTCAAAAAGGCAAAAAAAAAAAACGTCATTCAGGTGAAATGTTTTCAATAAGAACTAAGGATTTGTTGAAGGCCTGGGGTTTATGAAGTTGAATTTTGTTCCATTTCTGTCAATTGGATGGATGTGATATGATCCTGGATTGTTCTGATTTTCTGAAATGATCCGTTAATATAAGATGTTACAAGGCGCTCCATAGTCTGATCGCGCACTTGGTAAAAAAATATGTCATTTTGATATACAAGTAAACATTTTTTCTTTATTATAATCAGAAATATGTTTGCCTACCTCTAGATCTTTTTAAGTGGTATAGTTGTATTTTTTGTATTGAATATCATGTTAAAAACTGAAAAACACACTTTATATGTTGCATGCGTCCGAGGCGCTTTTCTGGATTTGTCTTCATCAGGAACGCTCAAAGCCGACTAATTGAAAGACAATAATGTATAACATAAACAGTTGAAGAGCTATATGACAAAAAGGCACCTACAAAACCCCAAATTTATCCAAGGTAAACTTTTTCTGAGGGAGTTTAAACCTTAGTTTCTTATAATTCCAAAATTTTTTAACGGACAATTTTTGACAGGTTTGTTATAAATCATGTCAGTACCGAAGTACTCACTACTGAGTTGATGATTTTCTTGGGGCTGTTTACAATTTATACTAAAGACATTAAGATGAATAACGTCATTGTATGGTTATAAGTTTATTCTATAACTAGTGACATAGTGTTACAATTTGGACATGTAAACTAACAAGTTGGTCCTATTTTTATGATTAATTTTTAATTTTTAAAGTATCTCGATTACTGGTACAAAAAGGCAAAAAAATAAACGAAAACCATCATTCAGGTGAAATGTCTTCAATAAGAACTAAGGAATCGCTGAAGGCTGTATAGTGACCTCTAAATGCTGACTTATACATCATTGGTTTCTGGTGGAGAGTTGTCTTATTGGAAATCATCCCAAGTCAGGAACTTGCAATTCAGTGGTTGTCGTTTGTTGCTGTGTTATATATTTGTTTTTCGTTCATTGTTTTGTACATAAAGAAGGGCGTTAGTTTTCTCGTTTGAATTGTTTTATATTTGCCATTTCGGCGGCTTTTATAGCTGACTATGCAGTATGGACTTTGCTCATTATTGAAGGCCGTACGGTGACATATAGAGGTAGTTCGATCACCAACCATACTTTGGTTTTTTTTTATATTAGTGCGCATGTCTGGTTAAGTGAATGATCGAACTCACTTTGGTACCAGTTTAGTAAGTTAATATGGCGGCGTTTTTACGAAAAATGTGTATACTGGAAATGTTTGATGACGAAGACGAAGATTTTCATCGCTTGCTTGCCAAGAGATAAAAAAATACATTAAGTGTGATTAATATGACGACCAGAAGAAGTTTTATGCCAAAAGTGACGGATTACATGGCAGTAGTCGGATAAATGGCGGTCCCTCCGCACATAGATGATTTTAAAATGCATTACCGCATCAGCAGAGATGATTTTCATATCATATTGGAAAGTGTTCAAGACTTACTAATCCGTATAGGTAGGGGGCCACACGAGACTGTCTAGTATGTGTCAGCAATTTAGCGACAAACCAGTCTATGAGGGAGACTGCACATTTCTTTAATCTGTCGAAGTCGACAGTGCATCAGATCATTAAAGAAGTGTGCAGTATTCTGGTTGATCTGCGTGATAGGGTAAGACAAATGTCAGTCACATGTGGTATGGGAAGACTAACTCTGGACCAGATTATGTTTTCATGTACTATGCGCTAGAAAATTTTAATTGATCTTATTCTTAATTCTTGACATTGTGTTTATATTTTTTTCAAATTAAGATTTACAATTTTTAACCAATTTATGGATTTAGATGTTAGTTACGAGTTACCATAACATTTATGAATTGGTATCTACAATTAAAACAATACATTCAAATGCTAATATGTGTTTTTTTTAGATAATTCGTTGGCCATCACCATGACAACAAACAGAAATTGAAACTGAGGTAGAAGCAGTATGCTCTTTGCCTTGGGTGACAAGGTTCATGAACGGTACACACATTAGACTGTCGGCTGCTATTGGTGGTGAAAGGGACTACTATAATAGAAAAAGGTATCCATCTATTCAGTTGCAGGTAAAACATATCATAGATCTGTCATTAGTAGTTATAGAATTTCTACTAAAATTAACAGTTTCATCATGTACAAAAATGTCTGTTTAAGGGGTTTCTGATTTACATCCAAGTTGTAAAACTGTCGTATAGCAGAAATGAAATTCGATGAATTTTTCGCATAAACACACGTATACCAGTTATTTATTTAGTGGTTTATAAGCAATTTTACTAAGAAATAATGTAAAGATTGACAATTTGAACATACTTGGTAATCATTTTTAACAAACCGATGACAACTTCCATTAAGACTGTTGTCATGTTTTCCTTCAGATTCATTGGTTGGTCCCAAAGTTTTTATGCAATTAGCAAGCTGTGTGCATGATGTACGCGTTTTCAGAAACTCAAGTGTCTACACCAAAGCTGAAGCTGGAGAGCTATTTTCACAAAATTATCACATCTTCGGGGACAATGCATATCCTCTTCGTAATTGGCTAGTTTCGCCAATTAAGAACTTTGGAAATCTGACAAGGCAACAAATTAAATTCTTATATAGTTTTGTAATATCTATTTTTTTTACAGTGAGGTTTAAGATGCAGCCAATAAAATTTTACTGGGGAAAAAGTTTTAATGAATGTTTTAGGGATCTCAGATCTTTATTAAAGGACGAAAATGTAGAAGGTAATTTGTCTTTATATATTGATTTTTACTGTATATTTGCCATTTTCAATTTAAACCAAAGATTGACTAAAGCAAATAAATTATCATTTAAATGTAGAATAATTGAAGTAGCCATAAATATTCTAATCTTACTATTCAGTAAGTAATACAGTGCCCAAAACACAGAAATAGATCAAGATTCAGTTCTCAAATTTGAAAGTGTATCGAGGGTAAATCATTGCAAACAGTTTTCTTGAGAAAATTATTTAGTCGAAGGTAGTTATGTTAACAATACCGATTTCTCTAGATTGAACACTAACTATGTTATTATATATTTATAGATAAATGCTAGTTTATTTCAATTCTCTAAAAATACAAACCAACACAAACAAATTCGAAAATCTCAAAATGTTCTGCATTAGATATTATGCAGGTGTCTTATTTTTCTTATTTTGTTTAAATAAATCAGTATAATCTACCATGTGTAAAAATATAGCGAAATTACTAATGTTGTTACTGCATATTTTAAATCAGCAATATTCTCATTTTTGCACATGCCTTTTCCCTAGTAATGAAAACTTACACTAGTATTTATAAAAGACATAGGTTTTGTAACACAACTACGTTTTCGTTTCTTGCGAGTACGTACATCAGTTTAACAGTCTGCTAATTATACTACAAAATTGAACATATCTTTACACTTATCTAGAATAAGGTTATAACATCATCTTTTGCATAATTTATGTAAATATGTAAATACAAAACGGGATTATAATTATAATATTTAATTATTATTTATGTAGGAAGACATAAGATTCGTGTACAGATCATCTTTCAGAACGTGGATGATATCGAGAGAAATGTTGATATCCTTAATTCTTTTAAAGAAGAGATCAACAAAGGTTTAAGAGGAATAGAGCTCATTGTTGCCACACACGGGAGTGTAGTTCTGAGTGTAGATATACTGCAGGAAATGTTAGAAACAGATGACAAATTACAAACTACCCTGGCTTTATTTCTAAAAAAGATTTTGGAACGCATTCCCACCTTCATTACTGAGACTATTGACACTGTTGTGTTACCTGAAGAAGGTTTGTCATTAATGTTCTATAAATATCTTATCAACGATTTGTATAGCTTTTCATATAATATACTCGAAAGATCTAAAAGATTGTTCACTGCGGTCCTACTAGTGTGGGACTTTACTGAATGATACATAATTTATTTTATTTGCCGGCCGAAACGCACAGGTATAAGTGCAGGTACATCGACTGCAATAAAAGTCGGAAATTTGGAGTGCCATCGGAAAATGTAGATTTGCAGGATAGAGGAAGAAATGTTGCCTTGGCGCAAGCTTAAACTGATTTACACGTCCAACATATCCAAACAATGCTCTTTTTGTCAAGGTTTTTACTTCCGGAAAGGAATAAGGTCAGGGATGCTCATATGTGTATACCCAGTCCACCGTAATGATGTTCATTCTACAAGTTACTCATACCAACAACTTTCTGTCAGCATTCGATTATTTTTAACTTTTAAAAAAAAGCAGTTCTTAATGATTCACGTAATGACACAAAAAAAAAGGAAGGGCAAAAACTGTATCTGCAGTGATGATCATATCACTATATCTACCACAGCATTATAAATTCAACATTTTCGTACCACTTGTATCTTTCGAAACGTTACAATGGATTGATTGGTTGCTTAAAGTCCAGTTGAAAATATTTCATGGACGTTCAGAACGAGAGAAAAAAAAACAATAAATACAATAGGTAGATTCTCTAATTGAGACCGACTGGGATGAAGGTCGGGGAAATTTAGACTTGCACTGGAAAATGAGGATATATTGGAGAGGGACAAAAATTTGGCTTGTCAACAGGACACCCACAGACCCCTCAAAGAGTTGTTACACAGGTTCGAAGCGTGCAAAAACCATGGCACTTTGGATTTAATGTCCCAATTTTGGTCGGATCAGGCTGCATACTTGTACATCTCGCACAGCCCAATGGACGCCCCACTTTGGCAAAGGATTTACTGCCGGTCTACAGAAGATCTGTAGTGACCATTTTTATATTCCCCAGTCACCCTTGGGGTCGTTGCAGTGGAGAATGCGTAGTCCTTTACTTGCTTTTTTTGCATCTGTTCCCTTTATAAATCTTTTGTTGTAAATAATTGAATGAAAAGGCTTTTAAAGGTATGTCCACTCAACCTCAGCTACATTGTGTATTTTAAAGGACATGTTGGGTAACCGTTAAAAGATGACGATCACAAAGTAATAAAAAAGAAAAGACTGTAGGGATTTTTATATCCTAACAATATGCTTATCTTATTATTGTGATCATTTGATACGTTGCAATGAAGAGAGTACCTTTGAATACATTACATTTATTTGTTTAATTTTTAAGATATTGCTATAAAGAAGAATATAAACAAAAATGCACATTGAAGGAAATCATCAGTATTTCGCCTGTTTTGTAACTTTTAAAATAATTATTATTCTAGAATCGTCACATTGATATACACAGTTTAAGGCAACAGTAGTTAACCGATTTTTCATTAATATATTCATAAAAAGATATATAATAACTTTATGGCAAAATGTAAAACCCTGACGGGTTAAAATGCAAGCATAATATGCACAACAAACATACAATACATGAAAAAAAGTCCAAACAAGTCAAGCTAATATTAATAATATATATATTATTCTACCAAGAAATTTGTTTTGCATGCACACGTATAAAAATTGCGTTTTTTTTCCAACGCAATCATAGGTTTGAACGTTGTTTTCAATTTAGACTTGTTTATATATTTATAGTAGTATATAGATAATTGAACATATAATATATAAATCAATCGCAAGATCTGTAAATAGAAGGAGACCGGCTTCGTCGATAGGGTATTTGTCTCCTGTTATGCGTGCATCACCCAACATGCAAATCAACATTTAAGTCAATATGCGACAGACGGAAATAGGACACTTCGGGAAAAATGTCCGTTCAGAAGACGCTTCTAATATTTGAAGATCATATAAGACGTTTCAATTTGAAACAATCGGTAGAAAGTAAAATAACAAAAATACCGAATTCCAAGGAAAATTCAAAACGGAAAGTCCCTTATCAAGTGGCAAATCAAAAGCTCAAACACATCAAACGAATGGAAAACAACTGTCATATTTTTGACTTGGTACATGCAATGCATTTCTTTAAGTAGAAAATGGTGGATTAAACCCTGTTTTATACCTAGCTAAACCTCTCACTGGTATGACAGTCGCATAAAATTCCATTAAATTGACAACAATGTGTGAACAAAACACAGACATAATAGGTGAACATGTCAAAAATTGGGGTACAGCAGTCAACATTATGTTATAATCTTAATCACTAAAAAAACGAATACGTCAACAAAGAAAAAGAAATGTAGACAAAGCACATAAGCAAAAATGAGGGACAAGACTACAACCAAGAGGCTCATGAGAGCCTGATATCGCCCACCTGTAATTTCAGTTTCAGGCATTTGATTTATTTGCAGATCTTACTTTGCTGAACATTTTTGTCATTTATACTTTCTCTCTTTCTGTAATAATATTAAAGATAATACATAACCCAAAACTGTAAAATTTCCTAAAAATTAACTATTTCTGGACAGTCACCCAACAATAAGTTGTCCTATTGGTCTGAGGATTACTTGACAGGTAGATATAAACCTGTTTAACACTTTCATTTATGTCAGTATTGCTCTTACTGCTTTAGTTTTTGAGATGAAAGCCAAAAACTTCATTTGACCCCTATATTCTATTTTTAGAAACTGCCACCATGTTTTTGAATGAATCAAATCCCCGACTACAATCTATAAACTAAATACCCTAAGGAACATTCAATTAAAGTTTTTAAGTATTTGGCCAAGTATTTTCAGCGAAGAAGTTTTGATAAAGAAGACTTTCACAAAAAATGTAAAAAAAAAAAACGTTTTAAGGGCAATAACTCCTTAAGGGGTCAATTGACTATTTTGATCATGATGACTTATATGTAGATCATACTTAGCTGAACATTTATTGCCATTTATACTTTCTCTCTATCTATTATCATATTGAAAAACAAACACAAAATCAGTAAAATTTAATAAATATAAACTATATCCAACAGTCACCCAACAATGGGTTGTCGAACTTGTCTGAAAATTTCATAACAGATAGATCATAACCCATTTATCACTTTAACTCCCTTTCACTTTTGCTCTAACTATCTTCAATAATTTTCAAGATAATAACCAAAAAACTGCAAAATTTCCTTAAAATTACCAATTTAGTGGCAGCAACCCAACAATGGGTTGTTCGGTTCGTCTCAGGCCTGATAGATCTTGACCTGTTGAACCTTTTTACCTTTGTCAGATTTGCTCTAAATGCTTTAGTTTTTGAGATACAAGCCAAAAACTGCATTTGACCCCTATGTTCTATTTTAAGCCATGACGGCCATGTTTGTTGATGGATCAAAACTTTGATTGATTGATTGATTGTTGGTTGCTTAACGTCCAGTGGCAAATATTTCATGCATATTCAGGACGAGAACAAATTAACAATAAATACAATAGGTAGGTTCTGTAATAGGGGCGTCCGGGATTAAGGTCGGAGAAATTTAGACTACCACGGGAAATGAGGGTATATTGGATAGGGACAGAAATTTAGCCTTGCAACAGGTCACCTACGGACCCCTCAAAGAGTTGTTGCAAGGGTTCTTAACGTGCAAAGAGCGTGGCACTCTCTTTACACGAGGCATCGGATTTAACGTCCCCATTCTGACCGGACGTGGCTGCAAATTTGTACATCCCGCACAGCCAAACGGACGCCCCACTTTAGCACGGGTTTTACTGCCGGTCGGAGGAAGACCAATGGTGACCATACTTCTATTCCCCAGTCACCCTTGGGGGGTCAAAACTTTGGATACAACTTATAAACTAGATACCTTAAGGAACATTCAGTTAAAGTTTAGAAGTATTAGGCTCAGTGGTTTTAGAGGAGAAGATTTTTAAATGTTAGCAAACAAATTGTGTAAAATAGTCGTTGAAGGGCAATAAATCCTTAAGGGGTCAATTGACACTTTTCGTCCTGTTTACTTTTTTTGTAGATCTTACTTTGCTGAACATTATTGCTGTTTACAGTTTATCTCTATCTATAATATAATTTAAGATAATAACCAAAAACTGCAAAATGTCCTTAAAATTACCACTTCAGGGACAGCAACCCAACAACAGGTTGTCTGATTCGTCTGAAAATTTCAGGGCAGATAGATCTTAATCAAATGAACATTTTTATCCATTGTTAGATTTGTTCTAAATGCTTTAGTTTCAGAGATATATGCCAAAAACTGCATTTGACCCCTATGTTGTATTTTTAGCCATGGCGGCCATGTTTTTTGATGGATCAAAACTTCGGATACAATTTATAAATTAGATACCCTAAGAAACATATAGGTAAAGTTTGAAGGTATTTGGCCCAGTAGTTTCAGAGGAGAAGATTCTTGAAATAGTTTACGACGACGACGGACGACGACGACAACAGACGACGGACGTCAAGTGATGTCATAAGCTCACACTGGCTCCGGTGAACTAGAAATGACCAAAGCACAACAACACATTGGCGGGATGCATAGTCAAGAGGTTTTGTCGACGATGTCCTTTATGTCAGTTACACACTACAGACATCAAGGGTGGAGTAAGATTACAATTGACTGCAAATCAAAATTGCTAAAATCAAAAGGGTACTTTTCATTGATTGGTTGTTGATTGCCTTACGTACAGTGGCAACTATTGTATTCATGTTCAGGACCAGAACAAGTCAATAAAAAATACAAAAGGTATGTCCTGTTAAAGTAGATGTCCGATGAATGATGGGAAATTTGGATTGCAACTGGAAAATGAGGGTATATTCGATAGGTACAGTAATTTTGCTTTGCAACAGACCATTCAAAGAGTTGTTCAAGGGTTCTTTTATCGTGCTGAGATCGCCAATGGGGTATGGTAACTGTTTAAACCAATTCCATATGTGACCAGAAATAAGTAAATTAGTCTTTTTAAACATCATGCAATAAAGCAAATCAATCCGAAAAACGTTGATTCTAGAACAATACAGAAACCACATTTTTTGAATATCACATCAATGCAGTAGCCTTTTTTTTATTTTAACCTTACAGAGTACACACAATGGAATGTATTGAAGAAGAATCTAGAACCAGTTTACCTAGAGTTTGCTATAGAAGCTGAGTTATTTGTAACCGACGAGAAAATGAAAGAGGAATTAGGAAAAATATCTTACGCGATCTTGACAAATTGCAAAGGAAGCGGAACAAATAATGCTATTACTGCTACACTCCTACCTATTTGTCTTGGTAACTACTTTATTATTATGATTTTATTATCTGTAAATATTTATAAATCAGATAAAAAAAAGCAAACCTAGTTCACTCATTGCAGTTAATTAAGACAGATAACTTCGCATGTAAAATAAGTCTGACAATTCTACTCCTCAGCCATCTTGAAACAATTGGTGCTGGCCTTATTGATGAATAAAAAACTTTAAAACGTTGCATCAAAAAGAAAAGAAGACTCGTAACGAAGAAATAAATCCTTGCATTTTCTTTTTTCTCCATTTAAAAGTCCATGGTCAATGTAATAAATAGAATTATTCATCCTATAATTCAAATATCGAAAAATATCTTATCTCGTGACCGAACAACACTGATAATAATTATTGGGCTATGCTAATTCGTAAATAAGGTGTAGTTTTGTCAATCCCTCTGAATTCTTGGATTATTTATTCTATAATTAATTATAGATTATCTTTAATTCGATTTTTTTTTTAAAGTGAACTAGTTATTATTCATGTGATACCAATTTTGCATGATATTTTCCAGGAGTGTGACACAATCTCGTTCTTCAGCCCACTCTATGAATATTCGCGTATAATTACAGCTTTTTGCCACTGTATGCTGTTCCCGCGTATCGATAAACCTGACGATCATAAACGGCACTTTCTGAAAATTAAATAAGGTAACAGAGGTATTGATTTCATCCCTATTTTGATAACGCAGAAACACCTATTATTTCGTATGCAAACAAAAAACAACTAAGCAGAAGATTGATTTTAATTTTACGTCAGTTATATCAGACGTCAATGTAGAAAATAATACTCCTCTAACTAGATTGATTGATTGATTGTTGGTTGCTTAACGTCCAGTGGCAAATATTTCATGCATATTCAGGACGAGAACAAGTTCACAATAAATACAATAGGTAGGTTCTGTAATAGATTAAGGGATTAAGGTCGGACTGCCACGGGAAATGAGGGTATATAGGATAGGGACAGAAATTTAGCCTTGCAACAGGTCACCTACGGACCCCTCAAAGAGTTGTTGCAAGGGTTCTTAACGTGCAAAGAGCGTGGCACTCTCTTTACACGAGGCATCGGATTTAACGTCCCCATTCTGACCGGACGTGGCTGCAAATTTGTACATCCCGCACAGCCAAACGGACGCCCCACTTTAGCACGGGTTTTACTGCCGGTCGGAGGAAGACCAATGGTGACCATACTTCTATTCCCCAGTCACCCTTGGGGGTCTTCTAACTAGAAGACTGCCAATCGTCGAATTTGAGATATGATCCCTATGGCCATGCTATAACGGGGACCTCAATATGGTTAAAGACCGAGAGGTTAAAAACCTTTTGAAAAAAGGACCAAAATATCGTCCTCCATCTAAAATTGATTTGAAATTAGTGTCGTCGGGTCACAAAAGACGCTCTTTTATCGTATTGCTATCTCGCGTTAACGAGAAAAATCTGATAAAAATCTCTTGATTCTTATTTTAATAAATGTATGAGTGTTGTGGATATTCGAATATAACATTTTTAAAGTAATACAGAAATAACTAAAACAGTACATAATACGCCTCTTTATAGAATAAGAAACAAGTATTTTCAAAGCGGTTTGTGTTTGTACCGTCCGACAAAGCAGCCAACAATGTGGTGTTGGTATGCCGTTAATACTACACGGACATTCTTATAAATGAAATTTCAAATTCTTCTACATTCAAGTGTGTGCGCTCCAAAGAGAGTTACATAGTGAACAAACATATCAACACTACATCATAACTTTAGGCCTCTTCTGAACATTTGAAGGTCGCTACTTTGTATTGGTTACCTAAACTACATAAAAAAAACAGTAAAATATCGTTTAATATCGGCCTGTATTAAGTATTCTACAATATTTCAGTGATTTTAACTAGTTCCTTACTATTACCTGTTGTTAGTAGTATTAAGTGTGTCACTGGTAACGTTTAAATTCGCAAAAGAATATCGGCAATAAACTTTTAAAATTATTATATGTAAAATGACTTGACAAGAAACGGACCAGGAAACTTCGGAATTGGAAAGCAGATATGAATGAATAGGTCCGTGAACCAATACTTTTCAATGTCACAAAAAAGAACATAATGCTTTCAAATTTTATGTTCTTCTACAGTATACATTTAAATTTTTGGATCTCATTCATGTTGAGAACGCATACCAAATTAATATATTGTATAATAAAAGATTCAATATTTATCAACTATATTGACTTAGATAATTTAATTATTTTCTGCTACATATGCCGGCGACCAATATCATATGAATGATGTAAAAGAAAAAGATTTGGGAATAATATAGTATTATTGAGGGTTTTTGAATAAATAGAAACAAGAAAGTGTTATATACAATGTTCTCATCAAAAGAATACATGAGGAAAAAGCGCTTTACGAACATTTCGGGTTTTTTTTATATTTTAGTAGGAAGTAAAACATGCAAAAGTTGACTTTATATATAGCATAGGAAATAAACTCGCGTGTCATAATACACAATTGATGTAACGATTAGAGTTGACGAAACGGTTCTTACAATGACGTTTTACTTTTATAACCCTTGAAATGTTATGGTAGGTAACATATATGAATGATTTATAGATTTTTGTTTGCCTGACATCTAAAAAGAAGAAATAAATGATAGAGGTCATACATTGCAACAGTCCCTTCTGAGTTGTATTGTGTATTCTTACAACGATTATAATATACAAGAAAAATTGTTGGTTGCTCAATTGTTTCTTGCTAAACGTTCAGTGGCCAATTATTGCATTCATATTCAGAACAAGGCGCTATTAAAAATTTATACAATAGGTAGGTTCTGTAAGGAATAAAGGATTGCATTAAGAAAGCCACTGGAAATGAGGGTATGTTGGATATTGGGCAGAAAGTAGCCTTGTAAAACTACGGATACCTCCAGGAGTTGTTGCAAAGGTTCTTAACGAGATGAGAATTCGTGTGCATGAGAAATCGGATTTAACGTTCCCTTTCATACTGGACGGAGTGCGTAGTAAGACACACCACAGCGCCCCAGTCTAGCGAGGGTGCTACTGACGGTTGGAAAAAAAATGATCATGTCCCATTGCAGCCTCGTGGTTCGTTATAAATCAGTGATATTACATCGTACCTATACGTAACCAAATAACATAAGGTGTGCCAATAAGGCTTGATTGCTTTCAATAACAAGATCAACGGCATATTCTGAGAGCATACATTAAAAACAAATTCAAGTCAACGCTGAATACGGTAAGAAAGGCGGATATTTAAAATTTTGACAGCCACAAAATGAAGGCATGTTGCATATGTTAAAACATTTAGCTTCGCAATAGGCAACCTTTTGATCGCTAAAAGCGCTGTGGTACAGATTTATCTACAAAAAGTTAATCATTATTTATTCGAAGGACATCAGATTGTTTATGATTTCATTGTCTTCTATGGAAGAAAGGATAACCCGTTGCAGCCTTGTCGACGAATATAACCAATTCTCGAAAATTTGGATGAATCATGGTTACTTCTCCACTATGACATTCCTCTCTGTCACGAAGTACAGGTATCGGAAACGTTAGCGGAACTGTTGGAACTCCAGCCATATGCAGCCACCGTTCATGTGCGATATAATCTATGTCCGCTATTAATACAGGAAATTTCCGTCAGGGGTTAAACCAAGAATGTTATTTACTGCACTCCAAACACAGCAATTGTAATATCTTTGCCACTATTTAAACGACCCTGCAACCAAAGTTTCAAACGCCTGACACTACTGACAGTCTTCTCCCCGATGGCTATTTTTAGGTAACATTTGATTGATTGATTGTTGGTTGCTTAACGTCCATTGGCAAATATTTCATGCATATTCAGGACGAGAACAAATTAATAATAAATACAAAAGATAGGTTCTGTAATAGGGGCGTCCGGGGTTAAGGTCGGCGAAATTCAGACTACCACGGGAAAATGAGGGTATATTGGATAGGGACAGAAATTTGGCCTTGCAACAGGTCACATACGGACCCCTCAAAGAGTTGTTGCAAGGGTTCTTAACGTGCAAAGAGCGTGGCACTCTCTTTACACGAGGCATCGGATTTAACGTCCCTATTCTGACCGGACGTGGCTGCAAATTTGTACATCCCGCACAGCCAAACGGACGCCCCACTTTAGCAAGGGTTTTACTGCCGGTCGGAGGAAGACCAATGGTGACCATACTTCTCTACCCCAGTCACCCTTTGGGTTAGATAACATTTAATGCTTAGTCCATGTAAGGAACATAAACTACATACACCTTTTGTAAACCTAGGTCCTATCATGCATTAAAACTTCCTAGATGCATCGGTAGATTTTGTGGTGTACATACGGCCATTAATTACTATTTCTTTTGATGAATTTTAAATAAACAATGTTCTAGAATTTGACATAAAAAAGAGATGAATTAAGCTTCCAAATTGTGAACCTTCTGTTTCTATGTCACAACATTCATGCAGCGCCTGGATACGGAGTATATATCTCCAAATTGATACAATTCATAGAGGGTTGCTGCTCACAAGGAAGCTATTAAATCAATAGTTCCAAATATTGAAGTTGAAATCTTCCCTTCGTTAATTTTACGGACGCCATCACGAGTTGGTTTACTGTTATGGAATATCCGTTTCACAGGTGATATCGGATTTGATTTTTGATTTTTGGTGATTTAACGCCACTTTTGGTCTATTTCGTGGCGGCCAGTTTTTATTGGTGGAGGAAGCCGGAGAAAACCACAGACCTTCGATAGGAAAACTGACAATCCTAGTCAATTAAGATTGGAGTCGAGTGCACCCGCACGAGCGGGGTTCGAACTCACAACCTCAGTGTTGACTGGCTAGTGATTACAGTACTAACTACTTAGACCACTTGGCCACCGATGCCCCCAGGTAATATCGGATATGTTCCTTATGTCGCAACTACAATCCCGTTCCCTTTTCACGAATGTGACCTACCGAAATAGACTATTTACCGGGTTTGTAATAACATGAGCAACACGACGGGTGCCACATGTGGAGCAGGATCTGCTTACCCTTCCGGAGCACTGGAGATAACCCCTAGTTTTTGTTGGGGTGCTTGTTGTCTAGTTTTTTATGTTGTTTCTTGTGTACTATTATTTGTCTGTTTGTCTCTTTCTTTTTTAGCAATGGCGTTGTCAGTTTATTTTCGATCATTATTTGATTAAATCTAAAATCAGTATATGGTATATCACAGTTAAATAATGGGTCATCCAGGGCATTTTTTGCTTCCTGCTTTACAACCAAGTGTCCATGGACATGTATCGGCGAGCGTTATCCAGTTACGTATGGCAGTAGCTCAAATACCCCTGAAACATGAGAGGTTTTAGACAGTGGAGACTACTAACTAATGAAGAGCAGAGAAACAGAGCTTGCGCAAACACCTGAATCACTACCAAAGTCGCATACATCAACAAATTAAAAAAAAAAAAATATAATAATATCTGTGTCCTCTTCCGTCATCATTTGTGTCTGCAATTAATTTAAATCACAGTTAAGGTAAACAAAAATCAGTGAAGCGTTAGGTCATGTAGCACAGATAAAGATCAAGGGACAATTTTATCACCGGTCACACCTGGATCTGAAGAAAATAGTCGGAATTGTTCATTTCCGTCAAACCGGAATCCGGCATATCTATTGTTATGCCCGACTACGTACTGTAGCTTTAACACATTTCGGTAAAGCATTTAAGCATAACGACTAATTCGAAGGCAACTGACAGAGACAACTTTAGCACTACAATCTTTGAAGCGGCTCAATGTTGCATTGTTCAGACAGCTCTCAATCTCATCTTTTTGAGAAGATTTCAACATGGTTAGATCTTTTCTAATATTTTCTAAGCTTGGTCATTAGTTTTGTTATACATGTCAATGTCATTCTTGATTTTTTTCAGAGCAAAGTTGTATGTTGCGATGGTAACACCTAACAAGGCTATTTCATTCTGGTTCTGAGATTCATTTTGGTTTTCATCAACATCCGTGTCCATGTCCTTCTCTATTTCTGTCTTTATTGTGTTAATCTCACTTTGTAATTCTAGTTGATTTCTTTCCCACTCTTTGTTTTTGTTTTTCAAGTTCACCACTTCCGTTATTATTTTTTCATTGTCGTTAATTAGCCCTGAAAGGGCGCTTCTGTTTTCCTTGAGAATTTCTTCTTTGAATTTGTCAAACTTCCGTTGAACTATCAGTTCTAAGTTTGAAAGTGATATACATTCTAAAAAAAAGAAAGAGGTGACGGATCAATATGAACTATCAGCTGACAAGAGTGATTTTAATGTTTTGCTTTGTTTTTCTTGAGCATCGACTATCTGTTCGTAATAAGTGATTAATAACTTTTCAATCATACAATTACTTCGTAAATAGAAAACACGATCTTATCCAAAACCATAGAGTGATCATTTGCGTTTGCCGGATGCGTTTACTTGAATTATCTGCCTAACCATGATACCATCACTTAACCTCATCTCTAAACTTATTCTTATCTGCATTTTACCCCCCTGTCCTTATTACCACTTGTCTCTTTATCTTCTCCTTATCCTCAAACGTAACGTTCTCTTAACCTTAAACTAAAATGAAATCTTATCGTATCCTTAGACATGACCTTATATTCAACCTTATCCTTATGGGTTAGGGTTAGGGTTAGATCTAATCTTATTCAAATCTTCACAAACATAACCCTAGCTCTAACCCTTATAATTTACCTCACCCTCAACCTCAGACTTTATAATTAGATTTTAGTTCGCATTTTACAGCTTTACCTTATTAGCACTATAACATTTTATTCAACCTTATCCCTATCATTCTCCTTAAACTTAGATATAACCTTCAACCAAAAATAATCCCCATCATTACCCTACCCTAAAAATTAACCTAATATCCTTTGATATATCTTTATACTAACCCGTAATGTAAAATTTATCCTAATTGTTTTCCTTAACCTTAAACTTAACCTAATCTTTATCCATAGACAACAACTTATACTATTCATTAACCATACCCTTATCCTCGAACTACTTTAATATCAAATTCTATTTCGTACATGTCGTTACTAAACGCCAGTCTAAGCCCAATCTTTTTTGTGATCGTCAATTATCCACCTCAACCTCAAAAGAGGAATGGTCGGTGGCCTATAGATGTTAGAATTGAATCAATAATAATTGAACTGTAGTGAATCACCCGATATGTGCCTTTTTTAGAGACAAAATGAAATAACGACATAACAGCACCCACATTTTTGGTGGGTTTCGTGTTCCTCAATCTTTATGTTGTGTTTGGTGAACAATTTTTTGCTTGTCTTTTTCTTTTTTAGCCATGGCGTTGTCAGTTTATTTTCGACTTGTGAGTTTGAATGTCCCTTTGATATCTTTTGCTTCTCTTTTATGAGAACATAAGATTCGTTTTAGTCGTATAAAATTATATGTATCGTTCTTTCTTAGGATGATACAGTACGTCATTTTCCATTATAGGAAAGGAGGAGGAGGTATTCGATATTATGAATGCAATTATTTTTTACAAGACTATTGAAACTCAAAAACTTCAGGTTTAGGGTTGAGGTAAAAGCGAAGATTCAACTTTCTGTTCAATATACTTATAAAGGCAATAAATGTATCTCATGTCTCATTGATATGTTTTGACTTTAAAACTTCGATAGCTTACCACTTTCTGATTCATCATCAGAACTTTTGTAGTTTTCTGTTGATTGTGTTTCAGTTGGGTTTGCCATGACTCAATCTGAAAAAATTAGAAAAACGTTGGTTTGCCTTGTGATAACTCTTGTTTTGAAAACTCCAACTTTCAATTTACATTGCTTTTAGCCAGCAAGTTACCGCTGTTTTAAACCCTAACTTAAGCGACTAATTCGTCATTTAAAACTAAGACTTATCCTTAAACTCTGTATTCATTCTTAAATTTATCCTGGATCACATCTTGCAGTACAACGTATCCCCAGTCATACCATCACTCCTTCCTGTAACATTGCGATGACTCATCTTTACCAATGAAGTTTGTGTTGTTCAATCTCAGTTTTCTATGTAGGCTGTTATTTATTTTTCGGTCGTTCTTCATTTTGCTATTGTATGATATTATCAGTTCATTTTCGACTAATGAGCTTGACTAGCCAATATTTTCCAATTTTTTATTTACCCCAAGCTCTATTCCTAATTTAAGGATTGACAGTAAGCTCAATGTCCTCAATAAAAAAGTAGAATATGAATATCGTTAAAGTATGTGTATTCAAAATGATACCCGAATGTTATGCTAAACGTTTGAACTTGATAATAATGTGAATTAAATAGTAAAACTAGAAAACCGGCAGGTAAATTGGCAGTCATAACTGCTTTTCAGTATTGGTTAAAGCTGACGTCATTAATAATCATTACCGTTTTTAACATTTCTTATCCACAATCTTATTGTTTACGTTGTCCTGATCCACACGCAATTGTTCTATGAAAAATGGTTTTTAATTAACTTATTTTTTCTTTCAATTTATTCTTGTTCCTTTACCCTAAACTTGACCTTATTTATATCATTACTCTAATCCTTGTCCTCAGATAAACTCTTGGTAACAATTTCATTTTGTTCATATCGTATCATATTCCTTACCTTCATCGTAACCTACTTCTCTACGTATGCTTAAGAACATTTGTGCTTCTTGAAAATTGTTATCAATTGCAAACAAATGGCATCCTGGTTGACTTGAAATTATTTAGTTTTAAATTCTTTATATTTAGCCTTTTATGATTTACTGTTAATCTTTAAGTGGTTATCGGTTTTGCCATGGTTTTGTCAATTTGTTTAGGACTTATGTGTTTCTGTCTCTTATCTTAACACCAGAAGATATACATATTTACCTTGTTCTTAGTCCATTCAAATTGTATGTGAAGAATATTTCTACTTAATTGTCGTCGTCAAAAACAAAATAAACAAAATCAAGACTGTGCAATTGGCAGTAAACTATTAAATCATCAAAGCCGACCTCACAAAAAATAGCTATGTATTCTACTCCGTTTAACATAAAGTCCAGGACATCTAGGTTTTCATTTTGACAAAAAATGATAGCTTGTCTAAATTCGATATGAGATTCGAATCCAACGAATGCATAAGGATAGTTCAAATATTCCATTATGCAGAGCTCCATCATATCCACCTGATCAATTATACATTTTGTGGAAAAAAAAAGTTCTGTCTAACCCTTACCCTAACCCTTACCCTCAAATATTCCTACGTCAGCCATATCACAACCTTAATATACCCTTCTGTCTAAGTCTACACCCCGATATTGTCTATAGACCTAACCCTAATCCTTTGGACTTATCCGATACTATATTATTATCTTACGTTTATCAACAATCATTCCTCAATCATATCTTTATTCTCAATTTTTTTTTATGCTTAACCTTACCCTCAGACATAATCTTATACTTAACATTATTCCTATCATTACCCTTAACATTATACCTTTCCTTGTCTTCTCCTTTTAGACCTAACATTGTACTTAACCTTATCCTTAAACTAATTATTAAACTTATCCTTATCCTTAGGTGATTTATAATATTGGATTTTATTTCGTACATATCGTTTCTACACTGCAATCTTAACCCACTCAAACGTTTACACAATACAGAAATGCATTGCTTCCATGATAAATGAATATGTATTACAAGTAGAAAGCATCTAATTTTATATGACTTTTATTTAAAAATAATGCAAAGTTTTTGTAAACGGAATACAAGATATTATCCAAAAATGTGGAGTGATCATACATTTCTTTCTGTGATCCTGATCCATTTGTCTGAAATACTATTTCAACCGTATACAATGACTTATATTCAACTTTGGACTTCTACTATATTATAATCTTAAGTTTATCAACACTCACTGCTTAATCTTTTCTTTATCCTCAAAAGTAATTTTATACTTCACCTTATCGTCAGACGAAATGTTATAATTATCAATCATTAACCTTAACCTTATAATCATCATAATTTTTGTCCTTAGACGTAATCTTATCCTTAACCTTGTCCTCAGACATAATCGTGTACTTAACCTTAACCATCTCATTACCCTTAACTTCATCTTCATCCTTAGACGTAACCTTATTCTTAACCTTATCCTGATCATCAGACTACTTTAATATTGGATTTTGTTATGTACATGATTACATGTCCAACTTGCAGATTTATAATAGATCTGGTTCTATTCTCTTTTCACTAAACCCATAAGGATACTGCTATTGATTTGTTTATGCATTCAAACCTTATTTATTCTACCTTCATGGACAATGCCTTTTTGATTTTAGTATAATGAAAAAATATTACTTACCAATCTCTCTTGAAGCTACAACCTCGGTACTACTCGGAAAATGACCTGAAAAAAGATAACTTTAATATTGGATTTGGTTTTGTACATGAGTACATGTTCAACTTGCAGATTTATAATAGATCTGGTGTTCTATTCTCTTTTCACTGAACCAATTAGGATACTTCTATTGATTTGTTTATTCATTCAAACCGTATTGCTTCTACCTTTATGGATAATGTCTTTTTAATTTTTCGTATAATGAGAAAACATTACTCACTGATCTCTCTTGAAGCTACAACCTTGGTACTACTCTGAAAATACTAGAAATGACCTGAAAGGAATGACAAAGTTATTGAAATCAAACCCTAACCCTAACTTTTTACATTATATTAAACCTTATACTTAACATTATCCCTACCCTTATACTTATCTTTAACCTTATCTTTATCCTCAGATGACTTTAATATTGGATTTGGTTTTGTACATGATTACATATGAAATTGAGTATGAAAACTTGTAGTTTTATAATAAATCTCGTGTTCTATTCTCTTTTCACTGAACCCATAAAGATACTTCTATTGATTTGTTTTTTCATTCAAACCTTATTTATTCTACCTTCATGGATAATGTTTTTTCAATTATCGTATAATGAAAAAGTTACTTACTAATCTCTCTTGAGGCTACAGCCTTGGTACTACTCGCAAAATACTGGAAATTACCTGAAAAAGGGAATAATAAAAAGTAAAATCACAAAAATAATGAACTCCGAGGAAAATTCAATCGGAAAGTCCCTAATCACATGGCAAAATCAAATGACAAAACACATCAAACGAATGGACAACAACTGTCATATTCCTGACTTGGTACAGGCATTTTCAAATGTAGAAAATGGTGGATTGAACCTGGTTTTATAGCGCTAAACCTCTCACTTGTACGACAGTCTTATCAAATTCTGTTATATTTACAACGATGCGTGAACAAAACAGACATTATAAATAAAATAGTCAAAATATGGGTACAGCATTCATCACTGTGTTACAATATCAAAACAAACAATTATTTACAAAAAAAGCACAAAAGCATCTATCAAATTAAAAAACCACATTCATTGCTTCGCGTGTCTGACGTCAGAAAATGTAAACGTCATATAAGAAAAAAGTTTGTCATTCAATGTTTATTCAAAACAATTTTATAATTTCACATGGGGAATGTTGGTATACAGGGTTAAAAAATCAAAAGTTATGTTAGAATTAATTTCAGAAATAGACCGAGATTTAAAATTGTCAAGAAGTTCTTTAAAACTTTTAAGAATCCACATATGGTAAATACCACTATGCGAGTAAAATAAATTTGTCGTTTGTCGTTCAAAGTATTTTCAAATTTATAATAGAACAATAACATAATGACATATAATAGAACAATAACATAATGACGGGATCTTTTAAAGTACAGAGTCACGTTATAAGAACCACAGAAACACAAAAAGTCGCATATACAAAACACACCAGCAAAAATGAAAGATAATACAAACACATTGACGGGATGTATAAGTACCTAGCCACGTCAAATGGATATCACAGAAAACAAACCAAACAGTAAAAGTAATATTAATAATAGAACAAAGACAAATGAAAGAACAATATTACACGTTGTTAAGATGATAAACAACGTCAGTATGCGGTAAGCGGTATTATATATCAAACAAAGTTTAAATACATTGAGGAGCATGTGTATATAAACAGTACACTAGCCAGAGTTTTGGACAAACGTACATTCAGGCACACGAAAAGTGTCAGGCAATTTGTTGAAAAGTGTCATCAACAAATCAATAATATAACACATGGTTTGCTGTTTAAAAGGTTTTAAAAAGGTGGAAATCAAAAGATAGGAGATAGAATAAAATCGGTCATTGTGTTTAAAACTTGCATAGAATCAAAATTGTTAATCATTGTTTTACGTTTGGAATCGTAAAAAATCACCTTAAATTATGGTTAGGGTGAAGGTTAACATAATACTTAACCCTGAATTTAACCGTAGACGTATTTTTTTTTACTTAACCGTATCGTCATCTTTACCCTTATTTGCATTATTAACCTAATCCGTATTCTGTGACGACTTCTCATATTGTATTTATTTTGTACATATCGTTTCTACACCGAATGCTTAATCCAATCATTTTTACATCGTTTACACAATACAGAAATGCATGGCTTCCAAGAGAAATGGATTGTATTGCAAGTCAAAACCATTTTATTTTACTTGACTTAAATTTAGCAATAATGCACAGATTTTGTAAAATGAATACAAGATCTTACCCAAAGGTGAGGAGTAATCAAACTCTTCTCTGAGTGTTCCTTGTCCGTTTGTCTGATCTACTATCTCAACATTACACAATGACTTATAATCTATAGACTTATTTGCTATTATATTCTAATCTTAAGTTTATCAACACCCATTGCATAATCCTATTGTTAATCTCAAAAGTAATTTTATTCTTAACCTAACCCTAACCTCGTTTCAACACTGCAATCTAAACCCAATCATGTTTAACCGTATAGGGGTCGAGGCGGAGTAAAACCAGCTGCGCATGGTCCTGGAGATCGACGACTCTCCTCACACAACAGATTTTCAACACTTAACGACGAATCAGAAATGGAAATCGAAAGTGTTCCGCCACCCGAAAGATTACAATCTCAGGGTGAGCGAAATAAGAATGCTGGCAAACTCGATAGCATTCGCCCGTCTATTAACAAAACATGACTAATATCATCCAATGGAATTGCCGAGGTCTTAAAATAAATCTTCTCGAGTTGACGCTTCTAGTTCAGTCTTTTTTACCTACTGCATTTTGTCTTCAAGAAACTCATTTAAAAGAAAGTGACAATGTATCTTTAAAAGGATACAACATGTATAGCACATTTTCTAAGGTAGATGAACGTGCTGCAGGCGGATCATCCATTTTCGTGAAGGACAACGTCATTCATAGCACAGTCCAACTCACCACGGATCTGCAGGCAGTTGCAATTCGTTTATCATTAGATAAAACAATTACATTATGTTCTATATATATTCCACCCAATTCAATTATAGATAAAGCTAAACTCAAAAACCTCACTGATCAATTACCCTCACCATTTATACTTATGGGCGACTTCAATGCACACAACCCCTTGTGGGGAAGCAAGTCTCATAATATCAAAGGTAAGATCATTGAGGACTTTGTCTCTCAAGAAGGATTATGCATTTTTAATAATGGATCTAATACTTATCTTCATCCTGGAAACGGGTCTTATTCTGCTATTGATATCACTATTTGCGATCCCTCTCTTCTTCTGGATTATTCATGGCGTGTTCATGATGATCTATGTGGAAGTGATCACTTTCCAATAGTACTTGAACATCTTTTTACTTCTGCCCAACAGAGAGTACCACGTTGGAAACTTGACAAGGCGGACTGGTCCTTGTTTGAGAATCTCTGTCAAGCGGAACTTCAGTCAAAGATGTTTGAGACTGTACAAGATCCAATTTTAACTTTTAATACAGTTTTAACGTCAATTGCTGACAGAACTATTCCTAAGACCTCGGCAAATCCGAAACATCCCAGCAAACCATGGTTTGATGATGCTTGTGATCAAGCAATGGGTGACCGTAAAAAATCTGAAAGACGGTTCAATCAACAACCAACGACAGAAAACTTGAGTAATTTCCGTGTTTTTCGCGCTAAGGCACGGCGGACTTGCAGGCAAGCACGACGAACGTCTTGGAAGAAATTTGTCTCGGAGATAACATCTCGCACTCCGATGACAAAAGTATGGAACATGATACAAAAGATAAAAGGTAAAAATTCTAAAGCCACAGTTAAACATTTAAAAAATGGCAATGATTTATTAACATCTGAAAAGGATATTGCCAACAAGCTTGGTGAAACTTTTGCGAAATCTTCTTCTTCTAACAACTACAGGGAAGATTTTAAAAAAGTTAAAAAACAAAAAGAAAAAATTAAATTAAACTTTAAATCAAAAAATGGTGAAAATTATAATAAACTCTTTTCCCTTGAAGAACTTAAAACATCTCTGTCAAAAGCCCATGATACAGCTTGTGGGCCTGATAATATTCACTACCAACTGTTAAAACACTTGCCAGATTCCTCGCTGGAAGCTCTTTTGCAGCTTATGAATTACATCTGGGAATCTGGTGATTTACCATCAATCTGGAAGCTTGCAACCGTCGTGCCTATTCCAAAACCAAGTAAAGATCACACGGATCCTATTAATTATCGGCCAATTGCTCTTACCAGTTGTGTCTGTAAAACACTAGAACGGATGGTCAATGATCGCCTTGTTTGGTTCCTGGAATCCAATGGGCTTTTAGCCAATATCCAGTGTGGATTCCGCCAAGGTCGCAGTACTCTTGACCATCTTGTTCGATTCGAATCATTTGTCCGTAATGGTTTTGCGAAAAATGAACATGTAGTGTCGGTCTTTTTCGATCTAGAAAAAGCCTATGATACTACATGGAAGTATGGTATTTTAAAAGATCTGTTTGATATGGGGTTGAAAGGCAATATGCCAAATTTTATTTCGAATTTTCTATCTAACAGACAATTTAATGTTAGAGTAAATTCAACCATGTCTGATCTGTATGATCAAGAGATGGGTGTCCCTCAGGGCAGTATTTTATCTGTTACATTATTTAGTCTTAAAATCAACAGCCTTGTTGAAGTTTTAAAAAGTAATATTGAAGGTTCATTGTATGTTGATGACTTTTTAATATGTTATAGAGCCAAAAATATGAATAACATAGAAAGACAATTACAGTTATGTCTTGGAAGAATTGAAAAATGGGCCTCGGAAAATGGGTTTAAATTTTCCACTTCAAAAACGGTCGGGATGCATTTTTGTAACAAAAGGAAATTGCATCTTGATCCAGAACTCACTTTGTACGGCAACCCAATTAAAATGGTTGATGAAACCAAATTTCTTGGGTTAATTTTCGATAAAAAGTTAACCTTTCTAACCCATATCAAAATGTTAAAATCGAAATGTTTAAAAGCACTAGATATTTTAAAAGTTGTCGGCAGCACCGACTGGGGTGCTGATCGCAACATTTTACTTAATTTATATAGATCTCTAGTTAGATCTAAACTAGATTATGGCTCTATAGTGTATGGCTCTGCAAGGAAGTCCTACATACAGATTCTCGATGCTGTGCATCATCAGGGTTTGCGTCTCTGTCTTGGCGCATTTAAAACCTCACCAGTTGAGAGTCTGTATGTAGAGGCTGATGAGCACTCACTCTCTAACAGACGTTTGAAGCTTGCACTTCAATATGCTGTCAAACTAAAAGCCTACTCAGATAATCCTGCCTACAGCTGTGTTTTTAATCCAATTTATGAAGATATTTTTGCAAAACATGAAAATAAAATTCCTCCGTTAGGTATACGTTTAAAACCACATTTAGCTTCTTTTGATTTAAAATCTGTTGCTCAAGTTGAAACTTGCAAATGTCCTCCATGGGAACTTCCCAAACCAAAAATGATATTTGATCTCCGTGAACACAATAAAAATAAAACAAATCCTCTTTTAATTCAGCAACACTATGCTGAAATCAAAGCCAATTATTCAGATTTTTCAACTGTCTATACTGATGGATCAAAAGATGGTGACAGAGTTGCATCTGCTGCTGTCTTCAGGGACAGAGCTGCAACTCTCCGTTTGCC